GTTTGGCTCAGTGGTAGAGCGTCGGTCTGCGGACTTAAAGGTCCAGGGTTCGATTCCGGTCAAGGGCATATACCTTGGTTGCGGGCACATCCCCAGTGGGGGGTGTGCAGGAGGCAGCTGGTCAATGTTTCTCTCTCATCGACTTTTCTAGCTCTCTATCTCTCTCCCTTCCTCTCTGTAAAAAATCAATAAAATATATTTTTTAAAAAGAAAAGAAAAGAAAGAAAGAACTGACCTCCAAAGCTACTGTCACTCAAATGCCCACCATCATGGCCAGCCTTGGGAGTCCTAAGGCAGAGCTGTCCCCGTTACCCTGGGGCCTTGGTTCCCTGGCTCAAGGAATTCACAGCAAAGATTCACTGAGCTCTGCCACTCAATTGCCACATGACCATTGCTGATCTCCAGGCATCTAGATTGTCACCTTCTTAGTCTCAAGTGTCCGCATCACCAGGACATTCTTTGTTTCACTTAGCTACTATTCCTCACAGAGCCCAGAGAGCATACAAAATGACACACATTTAGAAATGGTTTCATGAAACAGAATAATCTGACTTTTAAAGACTTGACTTCCTAATTTCCTGTAAGTGTTTGAGAACTTTTGGTGTTGTTCTTCTCCAAATTGTGTATGGCCAATGTGAGAATAATTCCCATTAACTCACTTTTTAAAAAATTGTAAATTTGAGCAGACATTGAACCTACTGCTTGTTAACTCTGTTTCTTTTCTGTGGGAGCCACATGAGGGAAGAGGGGGGGGAAGGGAGAGAGGAAAGTGTGTATATGGGTGCACTTGTGTCCAGAATTCTAGATTTTTTTTTTATTGAGATATAATTGACATATCACATTATATTGGTTTCCGGTGTACAGCATGATGGTTTGGTAAAGGTATTGACAAAATAACTTTTTAGACCCAGGAGAGAGCCATTCCTATTAGAGGTGCCACATCAGAAAACTAAACCTTAGATACATTCAAGTCCCTGTAATGCTCCTCCTGATCATAGGAACATTCTCTCTAGTCAACCAATACACAAACCCAGCCAACTCTAGGGCTTCTCACCCCAAACAAGGTTGACTCGTGGCCCTAGACCACACATGTCAAACACAAGGCCCGCGGGCCAAATCCGGCCCACCAGGCCTTGCAATGTGGCCCGCACCACGCTGTCATCACTGCACTCCGCTGCGTTCCATCACAATGACGCGCGGTGACATAGGAGGCTTGTGATCTCACCAGCCGCCTCGCCGGCCGCCGTACTTGCTATCTATTACGCATGCGCATAGATAACAAGTCACGCGAGATTCAGGAGGTGAGATATAGTCCGGCATCCGATGTGGTTGTGCGGGTGGCAGAGCAGAGGAGAGAGTGAGTGTGCGGGCATAAAAAATACACAGCAGAAGCTGCCAGTTCCTGGCATAAAGTGCAGGCATAAAAATCGCAACAGAATCTGCTATCTGTACCCAGCCAGGCATTTATTGACTGACTTTTTTTTTCTCCACTCCATCTGCCAAATCAAGCTATCCCTGTGCAGTTTTCAACTTTTTCTTTCTAACGCAGATTTCCAATAAACTACATCTTTTACTGCCAATATTGATCCCAAAATGTCCAGGAAAAGAAAAGTTGACGGTGAAGGCAGACAATTTAATGACAAATGGGAAAATGAATACATGTTTGTGCTTAGAGAGGGCAAACCAGTGTGTATATTGTATTATGAGACAGTGTCGGTGATGAAAGAGTACAATATAGGTCGTCATTTTGACACCAAACATAATGTTAAGTATGGCAAATATACTTTGGAAGAAAAGCATAAAATTGTTAAAGAACTAAAAGGCAAACTACAATCACAGCAGCAAATGTTTACAAAGGCTACAGTGAAAAATGATGCTGCAGTGAAAGCAAGCTTTATAGTGGCTGAAGAAATTGCCCGTACTTCAAGGTGTTTTTCAGAGGGTGCCTTTTTGAAGCAATGCATGCTAAAAGTGTGTGAGCAAGTATGCCCAGATCAGATATAGAGTTTTCAAAATGTCAGTTTGTCAAGAAACACCATTGCAGATAGAGTTCAAGAACTCTCAGGAAATCTATCATCACAGCTGGCCGAACAGGCATGCAGTTATCTCGCTTTTTCACTTGCTATCGATGAAAGCACAGACAACACTGATACAGAGCAGCTGTCCATCTTTATACGTGCTACGAAGACCGACCTCTCTGTCACTGAGGAACTTTTGGATGTAGCTGCCATGCATGGGACGATGACTGGTAGAGATATATTTGAGGCTGTGGAGAAATCTATAAATAATTTTAAATTACCCTGGGAAAAGTTGGTGGGGCTAACTACCGATGGCGCACCTTCAATGTGCGGAGAAAAGAAAAGCTTGGTTGGACTAATGAAGGAAAGAATGCAAAAAAGTCACTGCCACACACCCTTGATTACTTATCATTGCATTATCCACCAAGAGGCTATGTGTGGAAAAGTTCTGGACATGAATGACATAATGACCACAGTCATTAAAACTATTAACTTTATACGGGCACGTGGCCTGAATCATCGCCAGTTCCAGCAGTTTTTACAGGAGGTGGGTGCAGAGCATGGAGACGTGCCATACCACACAGAAGTAAGATGGCTGAGCAAGAGCGCAGTCCTCAAAAGATTTTTTGAGCTCAGAGAACAAATTGCTCTTTTCATAGAAAGTAAAGGAAAGCCCTTGCCTGAACGGTCGGATCCCGCCTGGCTATGTGATTTTGCTACGATGTGTGACATATGCGAGCATCTCGCCCAACTGAATCTGAAGCTGCAGGGACGCAAACAAGTCATCACGAAGATGTCTGACATGATCACAGCATTCCAGCGTAAACTTCAACTATGGAAGTCCCAACTGGAATAGGACAATCTTGCCCACTTTCCCGTTTGTTTGAGTATCTCAACCACTATTTCTGGTACTTTTCCTTGCAATCGGCTGGCTACCAAAGTTAGCCATTTCCTAAGTGAATCTGAGCGGCGCTTCTCTGACTTTAGAACACAGCACTCAGGCTTTGACATCTTTGCCAATCCTTTTACAGTTGATGTCAACAATGTGCCCCATCACCTTCAGATGGAGATAATCGAGCTTCAGTCTGGCAGTGGCCTGAAATCAAGGTTTCAGATGTTGAAATTGAGGACTTCTACCCTCTACTGCCCCTTGACTCAATGCCAGAGCTCCGACTTCATGCTGCCCTTATTCTGTCCATGTTCGGGAGCACCTATCTTTGTGAACAGATGTTTTCAATAATGAATCTGAACAAAAACAAGCACAGATCACGCATTACCGATGACAACCTCCATGCTGTTTTGCGGGTTGCTACAGCCCAAGAAATAAAACCGAACATTGACTCATTGATCCGGGGAAAACGGTGTCAGACATCTAGCCAGAAAACAAAACAATGAGCATTTTAGGTACATTCCAATATTACTGTTTTGCTTGATACCAATATTACTGTTTTGCTTGATAGCATGTGAGTTGGTTAACAGCACTGTTAAAGAAAAGATTGTTCCACTCATTTTAAATTCACATTTCTGGTTAACATTGTCAGTTTATGACTGTTCAGTAAACCATTCGGCCCGCGATTTAGGCTGGATTTTAGATTTTGGCCCCTTCTCTGATTGAGTTCGACACCCCTGCCCTAGACAATCAGATAATTTCTATTTTTCTCTTCTTTGTTCTTTACTCTTTATTCTATAAGAGCCTTCTGACTTTCATTCCATTTCCAGGAAGAAAACTGCATCATGATGTGTTAAAATTTGTTTGTTTGTATCACTTAAATTATCTTCTTTAATAATTTCTAATGGTATAATTGAAAATCATTACCATGATAAGTCTACTTAACATCCATCACCACACACAGTTACAGAGTATTTTTTATTGTATTGAGAACTTTTAAAATTTACTCTCTTAGCATTAGCCAGGTTTGGTTCAGTGAATAGAGAATCAGACTGAAGGGTCCTGGGTTCGATTCCAGTTAAGGGCACATACTTTGGTTGTAGGCTTGGTCCGTGGTCCCTGGCCCTGGTGGGGATGCATGTGGGATGTCTCTCTCTCACATTGATGTGTTTCTTCTGTGTCTCTTCCTCTACTTCCACTCTGTCTAAAAATCAATGGAAAAAATATACTCAGGTGCGGATTAATAACAACAATAAAACAATCCACAGAAATACCAAAAAAATTTACTCTTTTAGCAACTTTCAAATATACAACACAGTATTATTAACTACTGTTGCCATGCTGTTGCATCCCCATAACTTACTTCATAGATATAGAGAACTAACTGACGGTTGCCAGATGGAAGGAAGTTTGGTTGGGTGAAAAAATTGTGAAGGGATAAAGAAATACAAATTAGTAGTTACAGAATAAGCATGGAGATGTAAAGAACAGCATAAGGGATATGGCCAATAATCTATAATAATAAAAACATAATATGCTAATTAGATAGGACATCATTCTGGACATCCTTTCAGATTAAGCTACGGTGGCAGGGGCCAAGGCAGAGGCAGGAGTGATCAGGCAGGCAGGTGATCAGTTAGACGTGATCAGGCAGACAGGCAGGCAGAGGCAGTTAGAGGCAATCGGACAGGCAGGCAAGTGGTTAGGGGTGATCAGGCAGGCAGGTGAGCAGTTAGGACCCAGCAGTCCTGGATTGTGAGAGGGTGCAGGCCAGCCTGAGGGACCCCTCCCCTGCCTCCTGTGCACAAATTTCATGCACCAGGCCTCTAGTATTGTAATAATTATGAATGGTTCCAGGTGGGTACTAGACTTATTTGGGAAATCCTTTCTTATGTTATATAAATATCGAACCAATATTGGATGAAATGGGGTGGAGGTCCTCTTCCCCACTTGGTGCAGCTGGGGGTGGACTTCCTACAATATCCTGAGAAAAAGTATTTTCTGAGACTTGCACAGGAGAACAAGTGATTTTTATTTGCATGGGATTAAATCCCTGTGTTTCCAAAGTGCCATTTCCCTTGGTCCAGTCATAGAAGAATTGTAGGTGGGTTTCAGTAAAACTAGAAGCAGAGTCCGTGTCCAGAATTTCCTCTTATTGTTGGAAACAGGTCCAGTACAGCATCAGGCTAGGTGCAGTCCACAGTCTATTGTGTGGGAGTACACAGGGCCATGGGCCACACAGGCGAATTCCAGAAAGCCAAACGTGAGCCATGAGCCAAGTGTGCCAAGAGGAACCAAGGGAGTGTTCTTCCTCCTCCTCCTCCTCCTCCTCCTCCTCCTCCTCCTCCTCCTCCTCCTCCTCTTCCTCCTCCTCCTCCTCCTTCTCCTCCTCTTCTTCCTCCCCCTCCTCCTCTTCTTCTTCTTCTTCTTCTTCTTCTTCTTCTTCTTCTTCTTCTTCTTCTTCTTCTTCTAAATATATTTTATTGATTTTTTACAGAGAGGAAGAGAGAGGCATAGAGAGTTAGAAACATTAATGAGAGAGATTCATCAATCAGCTGCCTCCTGCACACCCACTTGGGGATGTGCCTGCAACCAAGGTACATGCCCTTGACTGGAATTGAACCTGGGACCTTTCAGTCTGCAGGCTGATGCTCTACCACTGAGCCAAACCAGTTTTGGCAAGAGTGTACTTCTTTACCCAGGGTATTAAATACCCCAAATCTTTAGGCACTTGCAGCGGCCACACCCATTCTGGAAAATGATCTTTGTTCCCAGATATGACCAGTAGCAGGTACTTTCCTATGTCATCCTAACTACTGGTATGCATTTCTCTTCCCTTTGTCTAGTCTCCTTCCCCCAGTGTTTTGCAGGAAACATATCTGTAATGTCTGGCCTTCCCTTTTCTCCTCTCTTATTATTAATTTTTAGTTAATTACAACAGTCTCATAAACCATTATGCTATATATCAGAAACCAATGTCAACTTGTAATTGAAAAATAAAATAAGCAAACTATGAAAAGAAAGTATGTTTCCACAAATTAAAAAAAATACAAAAAAGAAAATGGATGTTATTTATTATACTCAAAGCGTTGTTCTACTCTTTTCTTGAAGTGCAGAAATAAGTCAATCAAGGAAAGAAAAGATAACTACACTAACAAATTATCAGTTCTAAGTCTATTTTATATGAAGCAAGCTATTCTCTGTAAGCAGTGGGAGAAAAATAAATGCTTGTCTTCAAAGCAAAAATTTCAGAAATGATTCTTCTACCCTTAGTAAATTGAAAGAATCACTCCTGGGGGTCACTTCCATTTTTTTTTTTTTTTTTTTTTTTTTTTTTTTTTTTTTTTTTTTTATCTCCTAGGATTTTTGTGAGGATCAAGTGTGAAGATGTTAAACTATTCAGTCATTCTTTCAAAACAATTTTACTGAATAGTCATTTTATGAAAGCTTTCTAATAGCTAATATAATCTATAAAACATCTAATCTGTACAATCAATATATCGGTATATATATATATATATATATATATATATATATATATATATATATATATTGTGTGTGTGTGTGTGTGTGTGTGTGTGTGTGTGTGTCCTGGCTCAACATGTTGCCTTTTTAAGTATTCTATACAATTATAGAAAGAAAAAAAAATGTGCTGAGGAATTGCTGACTTTTTTTTTTCTTCTATTAACTGTGATCCCAGTATGGTTACCTTTTTCTTTGCTACTTCTTCAATGTTCCTTGGAGCTACTTTAGCAATGCAAATTACCCCCTAACAACAAGTAGATCATTTCCATAAGTTTAGAAGTGTCCTTTGAAATGGATATTTTATGTTAACAAAGTCTTATGAAAATTCCTGATGGGCTTTGGAGTTAGACACAACTGAGTTGAAATTCTGTCTTAGCATTTATTTTGATGGTGTTAACTTTCACTTAAAATTGAGGGAACCGATGTCTGGATTCCCTGAAAGCAACCTTAATTAGGATAGGATGTAAGTTTTATAAAGCACCTAGCATACTTGTAGAGCAAGAGGAACTAACAAAGAGCTTTGGAGATATTTTTGATGCCAGAGAAATTAATGGGCCAGACATCCCAGACAAGAGTGGGAGTGAGGCTCTTACAATATCTTCAGAAAATTAATTTTCTTAGACTTTCATGGGAGGGAGAAGAAGGCTTTATTGGCATGGAGTTACATTTCTTGGGTTCCAAAGACCCCTGCCCTTTCAGACAGTACTAGAAAAGATGCAGTTGGGCATTCAGTAAAGTTAGAAACCAGGCCAGTGTCTAGAGTTTCCGTTCCATGTTGCAATTGGGTTTGGTTCAGCATTCAGGCCAGATTAAAGTCCATTAGTCCCTGTATGGAGCCCAGCATGGCCTTGTGCGTTATGTGCACAGCGGACCATGGCTCCCTGCAGCAGGAGTCCTAACAGCCAGGAGCGAGGAGAGACTAAACTTCTGTAGTTTGGGAAAGATGAAATAGAGAGGGCTGGAGACTGGGATGTCAGGACACAGGCTTTATTGAAGAGAAGAGTACCATTGCCGGCTGCTTCCAGAGAGAGAGAATGGAAGAGAGCAAGGGCCTGAGTCCATGTATTTTTAAGGGGAAGATAGGGGACGGGGCTTAGGGCACTCAGCACACGCTGATTGGTGGTTTCATGTAAGGCACATGATTAGGGACCTAGGGACTAAGGAATCAGAGGCTTAGGGTATTTGGCAGGTGCTGATTGGTGGTTCAGTGCTCAGGAATGTCTGGCTGCAGGTGGAGTTCACATATGTCCATCAATTGAAGGAAGGGAGAATCTATTACTTTTGAAGTGTATATATTTCGATTTTGAGAATTTACAGTGGCCGTGCCCATCTGGCCAATTACCTGTTTTCAGGTGTGTTGATGGGCAAGAATCACTCAGACCTTACTGGGCATGTGTCTAAACTGCCTTTGTGTAGTCCCTTTCCCTTGATGAAAAGGGAACAGACTTGGACAGTGTTAAATGTAGCTTTTTGTCAAAGCTGTATACATGACATGCCTATATCTAGTCTTCCCTTCAACTCCTTTACTGTTAAGTAATAACCAGATTATTACAACGGTATCATTTTCACGACATAACCAGAACTGCCTTTTGCTGGATGGGGGTATAAGATGGTTGGAGTTGGTTCTTTAAACTGTGAATTCCCTAGATTGGCACTGAAATGACCTGGATGGGAAAATATTTTATAATTCAGTAAAACTGAATTATGAGCATCTGAGAGTAATTAACTAAGAAAACCTCAATGAACTCAAGACACTGTCAGAGCCCCCCAGCCAAAGCCCAGCAAGAACACACCTATTGTTGCAGATGGGGACACACATCTTGGCTGTATCAGTAAGAGGGAGTAAGAAAGGACTTTCAGAGTTTGGGACTGGGTTAGCTGATTTAGGGGAGGATTTAAGAAGGAGAGTTTCGCTCTGGATTGGACACTGTCAGGAAGAGAATGGTAGTGGACTGAGGTAGATGAGTCTATAATTAGGTATTATATTAGTTTTCTATGGCTGTGTGGAAAACTTTCCAATACCACTAAGCCATTCTCCTAATTTCAGCAGACACCAACTGGGTGTCCCACACATTTATCTTATTCTTGACACTACCTGTGTAGAGACAGCATCAGATCTCATAGATTGAGGCTTTGTGCAGAAACTCCATTTCTTTAACACAATCTTTCTTCTTTCTGTTTGTCCAGTCCCTTCTTTAATCTTTAAGCCTTTGGTAAATCAGATTCTGGTCAGCATAAAGCTGTCTTAAGAAGAAAGTCTCAGATTTATTAACCACAGAAACAGTTTTGGTCAAACTAAAGGTAAAATTTTGGCCTCAGTTGTGTTTCAGACCTACCTACCATACCCTTCACAAAATGAGACAGAATGATGCCAGGGCAGACTCTGGATCTTATATGATGGCCAACTACTCCCTACTCTGGACTCAACCAAATTGTGAATCCCAAGACCCCAATTCCATTAATCACCATAATTTAAAAATTTAAAACTATATAATCTGTCCCCTACGTGAGCCATAGGTAAGCTAGAACACTAGTTCACCTGTGCCTCTGAGTTTCGTGCCATTTCCTTAAACCTTTACTTTCTTAATAGGTTTTGATGTGTACAGCCAAACAAATGCCTAATTTTGGTAACAATTGTCTCCACTTTAGGGACCAATTGCAAAAACAGATTGTCATGTGTATTTCTGACCAACTGGCTATAAATAAGGGTTCTCATGACTTCCCCTTAGGGTTTGGTAATTTGTTAGAATGATTCACAAAGCTCAGGGGAACATTTACTTATGTTGATTGTCAGTTTATCATAAAGAACACAGATGAACAGCAGTGGGAAGAGGTACACAGAGTAAGTTCTGAGGGGCCCCAGGCATTGGAGCTTCTGTCTCTGCAGCAACCTCCTGGCACATGGCATCCATCAACCCAGAAGCTCCTCATGTTTTAAGAGTTTTAGGGAGATTTACTCTCCAGATGACCACCCTTTGCCTTACTTCCCAGAGGTCAGCAGGTGATGCTGAAAGTTCCAACCCTAAAATTACTTGATCTTTCTAGTGATCAGATGTAGGAAGCCATTCATTGTCAATACTATCATGAGAGTGCATCAAGGAACTCAGAAGGCTGATGAACCTTGAGCTTTAGCAGGGCTAAAGCTATGCACTGAGTGTTCTGTGTTGAGATAGTGATGGCTGGAAGCAATTTCCTGACCTGATAGCCTCAAAGTAAAGCTTTACTGATCTTTACTGACCTTTGAGATGGTCGGTCTGCTACCTGTTTGCCGTGCTTTACCAAGGGCAAGGTGTCTATCTAAAAGTGAATAAAAAGCAGACTGGCCAGAAGTTGGTGTGCCTCTCCAAGAGAGAGGTTTCTGCATGCCCCCACCCCCTCGCCCTTGCCTTCTGAATTCAGATTTCTTGTGTAGTGTTTTCAGTTTTAAAAGGTTGTGGTAACACCGTCCTGAGATTCTGAAGGGACCCCATTCTATCACCTCACCAGCAAAAACTCATGTGTGAGCCAAAGGGCTTGCCATGAATATCAAGACACTTCTGTGATTTAAGAAATTACAAGAGTTTTAGGAGCTCTGTGCCAGAAACCAGGACGAAGATCAAATATATTTATTAGACCAGAGGCTGCTATAACAAATTACCACAGACTGGGTGGCTTACCAAACAGACTTTATTTCTCATAGTGCTGGAGGCTACAAGACCAAGAGCAAGTTGTTGGCATGGATGATGTCTTCTGAGGCCTCTCTCCTCGGTTTGTAGGTGTCCATCTTCTCCCTGAGCCCTCACGTGGCCTTCCCTCTGTGTTCTAATGTTTTCTTCTTCTAAGGATGCCAGTCATATGGGGTTAGGACCCACACATTTTAACTTTTTTTTTCTTTAGAGATCTGTCTTCTAATATAGTCACCTCTGAATTACTGGGAGTTAGGACTTCAATGTATAAATCTTATGGTGTTCGGGACAGCTTCTGGGCTCGGGGCTGGCCCTGATCCAGCCTGGTCTCCAGGTTCTTCATTCACCCAGGAAAAAATTGAAGGTTGAATTGGAGTGAGAACAAAGTAACTTTTATTTAGGTAGAGAAAAAAGAAAGGCCAGGGCATAGGTTCCACTGTAAAATTAGTAAAAAAGTACATGTCTGAGGACACGGGCCAACTCACCAGCGAGTTGCACACTTGGTCAGTTAGTTCTTGGGATTTTATATGTTTCCAAGGGATTTCATGTCATCTTTAAGCTTTGTGCCAAATTCTGACACTGTCTTCTGGTTGGCATGGGAACTTGTTTCTAATGTGGTCCATTCCAGATGTGTCTTGGCATTCGTTCTCCTCACCCATACTTCTACTTGTGGTGTCAGTTTTCATTGTAATGATGGTATGATGATGAGCTTTGGGGTCATTTTCTTTGGGGTCATTTACCTTTATCTTGGATTTGTCTGGTTCTAATTATTATTTTTTGTCTACCTCCCGGACTATGGTGATTTAAAATACCTGCTCTTAGGCATCTTCAGTTAGGGAGGATAGTATCCTGTGATTTATTAGCTGGTTGTTAATTACTCAATCATTCCAACCATTTGTTCAACCACTTGTCTCAGTTTACTCACTGTATTTGCCAGGGAATTTTTCTAGTTTCTTACTAACCTGCTTCAATGGGACACAATTCAACCTTTAAGAGACATCTTAAATAACTTTACCTTGAAGGAAATCAGACAAGAGTAAAGCATTTAGCCTTAACCGGTTTGGCTCAGTGGATAGAGCATCAGCCTGCGGACTCCGGGGTCCCAGGTTCTATTCAGGTCAAGGGCACATCCGGTTGTTGTGGGCACATCCCCAGTGGGGGATGTTCAGGAGGCAGCTGATTGATGTTTTCTCTCTCATCAATGTTTCTAATTCTTCCTCTCCCTTCCTCTCTGTAAAAAAAAAAAAAAAAAAAAAAAAAAAAAAAAAAAAAAAAAAATATAAATACATATATATATATATATTTTTTTTTTTTTAAAGAGTAAAGCATTTACTCATATTGTTAGTGGCCATGTGGGTGCTCTCTTCTTGACTTTAGTGAAGTGAAGATGTCACAGCAGGAGTCCAAGTGATTTTGAGAGTATATTTATTAAAGCTGGGGATAGTGAAACAAAGGAAGGACTTAAGATAGAAGAGGCAGATCACAGCAACAGGAGTGAGGCTCCTCAGAGTTGCCTTGCCCTTTGGAAATAGGAGGAAGAGTTGATACTGAGCATGGCTGCCTTGGCCCTTTAGAAGGAAAGTCAGAGAGGCAGAATAAGTGAGCCAGCTGGGCTGTGTGGACTCAGGAAACAAATCACTAAAAAGTAACAAGTTACTGAGGCAAAAGGCCTTTGTAGAAAGAAAGCAAATAGGTACTTTAGGAAAGAAGGGGAGGGGGCATGAGAGTGCACACTGGATCCTTGGCCTTAAGGGTTTTTTATCTGTTTTCTAAAGACAGGAATTTTAGGGGAGACCTCAGGGGAGGATCTCAATAGAATATTCATCAGCGTTCCAGATATGTTCTTTCAGGGTTCTGGTCTCTATCGATAGGGTAGGGGGTCATTAGTCTTTGCATCTGGTTCTGATGTCAGCCATGGCATTGCTTCATCTGGTTTTGCTGCTTTGTTGGGCCTGGAGCTGAAACACAACTGAGGCCTAGATGTTATCTTTAGTTTTATCCAAACTCTGTGTGGTCAATAGACCTGAGTCTTTGTTCCTAAAATTATTTGATGCTGATCAGAACCTCCTGGTCCTGAGGGCCTAATGCTTAAGGAAGTGGTCATGCAAGGGAGAAGGAGGCAGGTGAGTCAGGGTGCTGGGAAAGGCCAGTTTGGATCAGACAGCTGTCTGTCTCATTTTTCCCATTCCGTTTGTCAAGGAATTTTCCTAGTTTCTTACTATATTGCCTCGATATTACCCACAACAGGAGATGTTTGGTTTTAAGATTGGTTGGCAATTTTTCATGATTTGTCTGTGTTAAACTAATACAGTAATCTTGACTTTGTTTTGATCTTCATGGCCACAGAATGTCCTTATCTGATGCTCATGTTCTGTAAAGTTGTTTGTGCACAAAAGGAATATATCACATCCTATCTGTGAGTGCCAGACTAACTCCTACGTGTCAGGAAAAAAGCAAGGTGAAACACAACACCAGTTAATATACTACCCTCACCAATTTGAAACGGTGTTTCTGAATAGACCATCATCTAATTAGTGTGAATAAAAGCTTCACTGGCTAAACAAGATAAATGGATAAATAGTTGAAATGAAACCTGTGATGCTAAACTCTATCACAAGAGTGTTGTATAAATTATCTTATCATTAAAAAATCCTTTAAATAAAAGACAAACTGATTACTTGTGATTACTCAGCATCATGGGAAAGACTGAGCATGTAATGTTCAAGTGAAGGAAAGCACATGATGCCATAAGAATGGTAACAGTGATAACATTATAATAATCTGGTTATTAATAACAGAAAAGGAGCAAAGAGGAGACTTTGCAGCTTTGCCAGGAAGCTGCAGTTAATAGTTTTCTATTTCCGGGTCATACATTTTTGCTTTTTCACTTGCTAATTCTTCTCAGATGAAATGAGATGGCTACTCCTTCACTTCGTGTAAATCTCTGCTTCAATGTTATCAGCTTAGAATGGCTCAACTTGACATCTTATTTTAAATACTAGAGGTCTGGTGCATGAAAATTCATGCACTGGCGGGGAGGTGGCCCTCAGCCTGGCCTGCCTCCTCTCAGATTCCTGGAACCCTAGGGGCAGGAGGTCATCTGCCAGTCAGGGGAAGGTGATGCCCCAATCACACCTCTGCTGCTGCCACTGCTGGTAGCGTCTCAGCTGGCCCTGGTTACCTGAGCCTCCGGTGGCCCTGCGCAACTCGGCAGGTGACATTCAAGGTTTGCCTGCACCTCAGTCTGGCCCTGGGCAGCTGGGGGGCTGAGGGTGGGTCTGGCCATAGCATGCACCTGCCGCACCCCTTGCCCGGCCCAGCTGGGCTGAAAGGATTGTGGGACTCTTGCTGAATGAACTGGGTGACTCCGGTGGAGCTGAGGGGACAGAGCACCACCATCTTGTGGCTATGGGTGCTGCCATCTTTGTCAGGCATGATGGTCAATTTGCATATTCCCTCTTTATTAGGTAGGATATTCTTTCTTCTCCAATCTCTCTCTATCCCCTTAGTCTTCTTGAATTCTCTTCAGAGAATATATCAAAACTAAGATGATTACACTATGCTATCTCTTTAGATGCTTATTATTTGCCATGTTCACAGCATAAACTCTAGAAGGACTGTCTGATTGTATGGCATCTAACACAGTGCCATACACTGCCATGTGGTAGATAGCCAATAAATATTTGTTGCATAAGAACATGATAATTGTGTCCCTTATAGTATTCATCCAACATTAGTTTTCTTTCTTTTATATATATTTTTTCTTTTGACTTGGTCTTATGACCCTTCTCCTGATTTGGAACCCAAAGGCATTGAGTCAGCCAGTTGATGTGGTGCATTCTAACTTGAATATTAAGATCTTGAGTGTATACACATGTAAAAATTTAGAGTTAATCAGCTGCCACTTAGGTTCTGTATGCATGAAAATCAATGTTTCCAATGGCCCAGAGTATAGTAGCTGTGGAAAAGAAATATGGACCTTTCCAAATTATTGAAAAAATATAAAATTCTAATATTATACAGATAAAAAAGAGATAAAATAGATAATCTAAATAGGCCTATATATCTATTGAAAAAGTTGAATCAATATGAATAATCTTCCAAAACAGAAAGCACCAGACTTAGATGGGTTCACTGGTGAATCCTACCAAACATTTAAGGAAGAAATTATATTAATTCTGTGAAATCTCTTTCAGAGGATAGAAATAGGAGGAATATTTCTTAATTATTCTATGAGGTTAGCATTACCTTCACACTAAAAGCAGACAAAGAAATTACAAAAACATAAATCAATAGACCATAGATGCAAGAATTCTCAACAAAATATTAGCAAGTCTAATCCAACAATGTATAAAAACCCCAGGACCAAAAGGGTTTATCACAGGTATAGAAGGCTGGGTCAATATTAAAAAATCAATTAATTGTAATTTGTGGGAAGCTATCCATCGTCAACATTGTCATGAAAGTACATCTAGGAACTCAGAAGGCCAATGAACCTTGGACGATTAGTAGGGCTAATACCATGCACCAATTGTTCTGTTGAGATAGCGATGGCTTGAAGCAATTTTCTGACCTAATAGCCTCAAAGTAAATCTTTACTAATCTTTTACTGACTTTTGAGATAGTCTGCTTGCTACCAGTTTGCCGTGCTTAACTGAGG